AATTATAACGTAAGCCTAATTTTAGTTTATCCTCTGCCACTTATTTCGTTCGTTGACGGAGAGTTCTCACTATTCGCAGCTATTCCGTTGCGTAACGCGTAAATTTTTTAATGTTGTAGTTTTCACCGCATGCTTCAATGGTAACCAAGGAATAAATCGGTTTAAAATCAGGCCTGTAATGTGTGGTTGAACTCGGCGAACTCGGGATCAATACTTCCCGCAAGGACTTGGTCCGGGAACGCGACAGTGAAAAGTTATAATCGATACACTTTATTGGAGTGCCGTTGTGCAACACCTCACGGCTCACCGCCCCCAAAGTTTGGAGTCTGTAGAATTGTAGATCTGCACATAACATCGACATCTTCGACATGGCAGAAAACGTCAAATACTCATCACGGGAGAGCTATTCGTCCGAACTCAAGAAGCCCTTGTTAAACACAGGATCCGATTCCATTTCGCACGTGTCTGAAAAATGTTCTCGCCCACGCAAATCGTCATCTGGCCGATTGTCCTCCTCTACCAGTTCTAGCGTTGCACGGAGAAAGGCTTTGGCAGAAGCTGCAGCAGCGAAACAAGAAGCGAAATTTGACAGACTGTTGGCCGAAAAGGAGTTCGAGAGAGTGGGAATGGAGGCGGAAGAAGAGAGAAAACGTCAGTTTCGAAGGGCTAAATTCGAATGTGACAAGGCTGTCCTTACTGCGAAGAAGAAAGCTGCGATTGCCGAAGCGAAGTTGAAGGTTATCGAGCAGGCTATAGAGGAAGAAGAAAAAGAAGAGCAAGACATTACGATCACTATTCCAGATCTCTATAAACCCGTTGACACTATACAACAGACGCAAGCTTGATAAAACACGCAAAGGCCTCAGGAACCAAGGGATTACGTGACAGAAAGTTCGAAACACCAACCAGAAAAAAGGGAAATCACCCACATGTACAGCACACCTAAAAGCGGACAGGAGAACGCGCTTCTCTCTGGTTTTCCAAGAACGAATCCTTCGCACCTACTCCTATAGAGGAATTAGCGAGCATCAATCAAATATTGGCGGCAAATCTTGCGCGACAAAATCTCCCAAAGTGTCACCCAGAGGTATTCGCGGGAGACGTAACACTTTTCCACCCCTGGAGAAGCGCATTCAAGGCCATGATCAAGGACGCAGACGTGTCCCCGGAAATGGAGATAAACTACCTCAGAAGCTATACGAAAGAGGAC